TTGTTCTCGAAACGCTGACATAAAATGTCCCACGCTACATCATAATTTTCGGAGGAAATATCAATGGATTGGATACACTGAACTGCTGGCCCTTCTAGTGAAGCTTTCAGGTAATGGAATTTTTCGATAGAATCAAGATATTCACTTTTGTGTACAAGTGAGACGAAAGTATCTCGAAATTCTTGCCATCGCTCATATTGACCCGAAAACTTTGGCAGTTCAATGGTAGGAAATTTCGCATGTGGTTTCCGGTGAAAATTTGAATTTTGAGGAACATTGGCAATGATGGATGTGCTCGAATGAGTTTCATCTTCCGTTGAATTTCTGTTGAAATCATTGTGCCATGAAATGAACTGTTTTGCTTCCGAAATTAAAGCAAAATACGAAAACTCAAATTTTTCCAACTCAGATTCCGTGAAATCATTCGAATTTAAGCCCTCAAGTTCAAACTGAATTTCAGAAAATTCCGAAAGTAAATTCGATTCAATTTCTTTCAAGCGTAATTCAATTTCGAGTAGTGTCGCTCGATTAGGATTTTCAGTTTTCGCGGCATGAAAATAATTTGAAAAACGCGTTAACCTGCTTTTTATGCTAGCCCGTTTTCTTACCAAAATTTGAATTCGAGCATTTACTTCACCATCTTCGGTATCTGGGAAGTCGCTTTGCATATTTGGGTTTTTTGATTTTCTTTTTGCTGGCATTTTTTGAAATTTTTAAAATCAAATCAACAATGAATTATTTTCAGAATTTTGCGAACTCGATATCACTGAGATGCACTGAAATCTCGATCCTAATGCAACGTAAATGACTCTTTGAATTAAATTTACACCAAAATTGCATTTGCAGTTTTTCCAAATGTAAATTGGCAAATTTCTTTACGATTGGAACTCCTTTTTACAAAAAAATTCAACGATCTTTGGATGAAATGTACAATTTTGTTTGGAAAACGTTGATGAACAATGAATGAATGGACGCAAATAACTATACGCAGTCGATCGTCAGTTTGTCTTAGAAAACGGAAAACTTTGGCACTTTTTCCGATTGTCCGTAACGCGAACGCACAACGCGATGAAACAGTTCCGACGGCGACAGTTTTCTGCATGCAACGAGGTTACCTTGATTTTGCTGTCCGACGGCGAGTTTGTTTTTATCGTTGCGACAACAATCTCTCACCCGACTGAATACAACTTCAAATGCTTGTCCAGGATACGCTGCTGGATGTGAAGACTCTTGAAAAAACCAATTGACTAACCGAATCCGTTCAATGAACCGTGAATCCGAATGAATAGCCAAGAAATTCTTGTTTCTGTCCAAAAATCCGATCGAATGGACCAAAAAATGTATAGAACCTCTATACACCTTCGTGTGTGGACTGTATCTTGCTCTCGTACCGTCAAACGCACTTTCCCTTGTGGTGGTCAGTTCGGTACTGGCGCGCTGGGCGGCATCCCTTCGGCTGCACAAACGGTCTGGCACGCACTTGGATCGTGATTGATGCATGATAGTCACGTGACTCTGGCGTGTTCACACATAGCGGGGTTTCACATATAGCAACGAAAACTAATAGGTTCTTAACAGATTGATTTCAATAAATAAATGTTCACTGCTTTTCGGTGCTGGTAAAACTTTACTTATAAGATACAAGTCTTACAGACCCCTATTAGAACCCCACCTCCCCTCTCAAAGGTTTCTGCAGATCTTTCCTTGCGGTATATTGTAGTAAAACATCTGTAGTTCTGCACTGTCTATATCATCATTTAGCCACGTTTTATTGAAGACTAAAATATCATATTGGGAGTAAGAGAAGCTGAAACTTGGTGCGCAATCCTCTAACATTTTGGAAAAGGCCTGCCTAGTTTTTTGCAATGAGTTTAGGAACTTCGTTTACATATTTTAGAAAGAGATTGGGTTCTCCATTTCGCTGTCTCTTCTTGAATTCGTTCACTTTCAAGCGCTGATCAGGTCAGCCTCTAGAAATATTTTGCGGCTTCTTTCCATATTTTTCTTACTCCTCAGCACTCTGCGAACTATCTCAGCTCACTCTAGAGTCTGGCGCAATGACTGGTGACCGTTTTTATTACACTTTCATATTCTCACTGCACTAGCAACATTAACTGGGAGTTAAAATGGCTTCTTGTTCACTGGTTTTCGCTGACGTCGCAGAAGTGGTCTGTTTAATAACAGCTAGATTCATTTTTATACCGTTGACTGATTTCGTCGAGTGGACAGGAAACCTTCCTGCAAAAATCGCATGGGAAACCAAAAACCGTTCCAGTATTCTTCGGCTCTTTAAAAACACTTTAAGACCCTTTTAATCTATTTTCAAACCAAATATTTGCCCTACCAAGTATTTTCCAAACTTTTTTGGCACTGGGCACCAGTGTACGCGATGGTATGAACTGATTCCTTGGGATGTAGTGAACCAGAACGATATCCTTTGTTATTCTCCATTTAATATCGATGAATGCATCCTCACATTCTCTAGTTCATCTAAATACAGAGTTTTTCTTTAATAAGTTATATATAGACCTCAACAGAGTTGCTAAATTTTGTAGAAAGGTATTTGACTAAACCTACAAAATTCCTAACTTGGACTTTATCCATTGGTCTACTAGCTCTTACTATTGCTTTAACTTTATCTTCACTTTTTCTAAAATCATCTTTACTAATAACAACTCCCAAAAAAATTATTGAGTCTTGGAAAAATAGACACCTTTCTTTTTTTATAGTGAGTCCTGCCTCCCGCAGTATTGCAAAAACCATTTCCAATTTTTTCCAGGCTTCCTCATCATTTTCTGGGGTGATTAAAAATATAGATATGTATAAAAATATTTGAACTGAGCGTACGCTTGCGACAAGTCAATTTTACTTAATCTCTCACCTCGATGAAGCTTTGCAAACATATCTCCGCGATTGGAATAGCGCGTTTCACCTCTTGATGGTACTTATTTATGGTAGCTTTGTAATTTCCCCACTGGCTCTTCACTACTTTCTATATGATGGCTTTTTTCTGCAATCGGTCTATAAGATATGTTTCGCATTAGGTTTCAACTGTAAACTAATCCTGGTTTTGATAAAAAAATATCTGTATACTTTGTTACCAATTATTCTAAGCCTCTAGATTTTGTAACTGCAAACATAATATTTAATTCGATTTTAAATTTGCAAAGAAAGTCACGTCCCACTATGATAGTTCCACCATCCTTATTCACGAAAAATCGTACTTGTTTTACTTAAAAAATCCCCTGATCTTAAAGTTTTGTCCCTCATAACCGCACAAATTGGTGTTATCTTGTTTTAACCGATATTGTTAAAATTAGTCGATCTGTACATTTATCATTAATGATAATATTTATTCTATATGAATTTGATGTTTAATTTGGCTTAGCCATTGAATAAAGTTTTTGAGTTTCTGTTGTATTGTCTTCACTTTCCCTCCTATTAACATAATTTGGAAGGACCCTGTTTCATTGGCTATTTGTCTAGCTGAAATAAACGTAATTCTTTCGCGCCAATAAGATGTTTGGGGACTAAATTGTTTTTTTAATGGTTTTACTAGCTGATGGAACTTTTGGTCATAAGTCTCTTAATAATTTGTAAGTTTCCGAACCGACAAGACTGATACTGGTCCAACATTCTGCACTCGTTATATTTATTGTCTTTTCAGGTAATGCTCCCAAGCAACTGTTTTTACGGCTAAACAGCATAGAACCCATTTCAAACTTTCGCCCGTGATCCGCAACCGTTTATACGCACAAAACCACAGACTTCTATATTTAGACTAAAAATTATTTGACGATTCTTGCGATCTTGGGGTGAAATCCGGCGAAACTACACGCCGAAACACTTCAACGTCAATGCCACCATACAAAAAACAATTTAAATTTACCGGGGACATACACTTAATAAAAATCGCGATTTGCGATTACCTTTTACCTCGTCGCCATCTCACTAGGTTTAGAATAAAAAATCTAACTTCACCTTTGAGATCGTCTTTTATTATCTAGTTTGTTCGGCGGTGGTTTAGATCGAAGAGAGCTCCTCTATCTGAATTTAACTTCCACGTTAACTACTAATTTGTTTGCGCCTGTGCGCGATTACAGAGACGTCTTCAAGATAATTTACTTATCCGACGGCCTCAGATTTTCAAAAAACACAAAATGCGGCAGAGTTTTGGTAGGCAATCCGATTTTTGAGATACGGGAGGATTTTGTAAGTAAGTAAAAAGTTAGCAATTATTTTCGAGAAATAGATCAAACATATATTTCTTAAATCGTTAACTCTGTATGATAAAAGCATCTCGAAAATAAATAAAACTCTATGTTTGTTTTTAACATAAAACCTAAAAAAAACATTTTTTATATAACCTCAAAGAAAATTGTTGGCCCCTATTAAAATAGAATCAGTCATTACTGATTAAAAAAATAAAAACAAAAATAATGAATTTCGTTCTCCGGAAAAGAAAAAACTTAAATTGATTTCTTATGGCATCGGATCACAACTGTTGCTCAAATTGTTCTCCATTGCTTCTTAAACATGTTTCATACACGGTTCTTATTCGTCTTAGTTGCATTTCTCAAATCTGCCATTGTTTGATACTGGACGGTAATATATTTTATTTTGTAGCTATCCTCACAAAATGAAATCCAATAAAATTCTCGCATTGTGAGTAGAAGCTCCGCCTTTTTACGAATATAAATTATTACGATGCGCCAAGGACGTATCTAGTTCGACGATATTGTTTTCAATAATTTTTAAATATGTATTTGCCTTTAAAAATATTAAATTAAATTTTTACGGTACAATACAGCATTCCTGAAATCATTAAATGAAATTTATATGCCTTTAATTTGTGTTTCTTTAATGCCTGTTGAAGCCGTGATTTACTAATTAGGACTAATTTTATGCAAGAATCACTTTCATTTCTTATTCTTAGAAATCGTTTAAAGACCAACAGCAAGGATTTCAAGGGATACTAATTTAGGGTGATTTCTTTCAAGCCGCTCATTGCGTCAAGACCGAGAAAAGAAAATACAAACCCCAGGAGCTGCTATGTATTTTGGGTAAACTGAATATCCAAAAATGGGTGCCCAGCAACGGCGAGAGAATAATTGAACCGGAATCGATCATCGTACATCCAGGTAGGCATATGAGAATGGTGTGTTTCATTTTTTAAAGCGGGGTTTATCAAAAAACCAACAGTTTTGATTAGTCGCGTATGTAAAAGAGATTACAGAAAAACACATAAACGGACTTTATTCAAATATATTGACATGTTTTAAACACTTCTGTTACAATGAGACCACCTAAAATCACCATTGACTTATTAAAGCTTCAATCTTAAATAAGAAACTTAAATCTGCAATAGCAAAAAATAGAATTCTAACAAAAATAGTCATCATCATCTAGTTATGGATGCGAAAACCTAGCCCAAGCTTATTAAAATGCATTTTACTTTTTACATATCTTTTGGATTCCTCCTGTAAATTCGCTATAAAATGACTCGCATTCTACTCTGTACCTGCTTATTTATTGTTCGAGGGGGCGGAACTAAAGGTCTCGGGTGACTAATTCCCATATTAGTGAAAGGAGAAGAACTGAGTCGCGATTAAGATTGTTTGGTTGCTTATAGATTTCTATAGATTGATTACATGCAAGAATTTTAATTTTATCGAACAAGATTTGATATCCAGTTATATGATTGTGTTTGGCAACTGCTGATCACTTTATTTGTCGTAGTTTTAAGGCTTTTTGATGTTCTTTGGGCCTAGTTGATATTTTTGTAATGTATTTTTTTTTTGTGGAATGAAGATGAATGAAAGATTTTTGGACAAGTGGTAAATCTGGTACGACGTTATATTTCTTAAGAACCCTTGTATGTGGTCAGTGATGTTTTGAAGACGGATCTTATCGTCAACTTAAAAAAAAATCTACGTCATCCATGGAGCGCAACCTTAAATCTGTTATTAAGACTCTCTCAGAATCCGTGAAGAAGTCTGTCCCCCCTCATGAGTCTAAAATTCCTGATCCCTACCACACAGACCGGTACTTAATGAATTATCACATCATTATCCGGCCCAAAAATCATTGGTTATCGACTCTCTTGGTTACAGAGCCGGGAAACTATCTCAACTCGAGTCACTGAACCCAGAATTAAAACTCCTTACAACTGCTCTACAAGAAAATGGAGTCCGAAATGCCACCCTGCACTTAGCACACCTTACATTCAAAACATCAAACAAATATCAAAAGTTATTAAGAAATATAATGTTAATACCAAATTGACCACTTGCCCAAAAATCTCTCAACATTTTCGATCCATCAAAGACAAAATTTCGTTTATAGTACCTATGCATCTGCGGCCAAGAATACGTTTTAGAAACAGGATCAAAAATATCCTAGCCTAAAAGAACTGAAAGACCCTTAAGACTACGACAAGTAAACTCATCAGCAATTGCCGAACACAATCATGAAAACGGACATCAAATCTTATTCGACTAAATTCAGAGAATCCATAGAAATCTCTAAACAACCAAGAAATTTTAACTTTAATTCAGATCTCTTTACCTTCCATCAGCCATCCGAGACAATTTTCGTGTTCCTCCTTTAGCACCGCCCCCCTCTAATGAACAGGTTGAACCACCGACGTAGGAGGAATTCAAAAGATTTATAAATTGTATGAAGAAGTTTCTTTGAAAAAAATAATATTTTTTGTTCCTTATTAGTGTAATATAATAATTAATGGGTTTAGATCCAGAAAAAACAAAGGATTTTTAAAGAATTTCATATTTTTTAAATGAATTTTGTTGGCGGGGGGGGGGGGGTTCCAGTGAAATTCAATGATTTACCCCTCTGCGGTGTAGACCTTGAGTAGAACTTTTCCTTCAAGTTCAAGCTGGGTGAATCCATATTGGCGCCGAATTGTGAACTAAACCTACTACATTTTACCAAATACCAGGCAAAAGAAAAGTTTGTTGTTTCGTCATTTATGTTTCCCAAGATTAACATTACATCACTCCCAGGTAATTATATCATGACTGACAGTGAAAGAAGATATTTTTACAAATATTTTACAAAAGCCTAAGAGTAACATAATTAGTTTAAAATTGGTTGGCCTATGGCGTCCATCACGCGTTACATCAGGCTCAGGTCATTATATCATGACTGACAATGAAGCAAATGAAATAAATATTTTTACAAAAACCTATGAGTTGGCCTATGGCAACCATCTAATGTGATTGTAAAACATGTCTATCATTTTACGTATCATTTACGTATACAACAACAACAAATGGTAAGTCAGAATTAGTCGAAAGTCGTAAGAAAAATGCCACTTGAGTTATAACTACGAGTCGAGGATCCAATCGTTACATTTTCCTCTTCTTTTTTCGCTTCCCCTAGGGCTTGAGCAAACAGTAAGTTAATATCTTTTTTTTTTAATGTCGTTTTGTGTCTTGCCCCAGATAATTTCTATAAGATTTAGTTTGCAATGAGGTGCGCAGCACAATTATACTATATTTTCTGCTATATCTTCGGCGGCGTATTCTATAGTATTGCAATTAAGCTTGATCATTAAATAAAAACAATAAATTTTAAAAAATCAAAATTTTTAGATTACGAATCGGGTACGTCGGATGCGGATATCGCGGTCTTGATACTTGGCGAGCCTTTGGAGTTTACTAAATTCGTCAGTCCGATTTGCTTATGGAGCGGCTCCACGGACCTGGGCCAAGTCGTTGGTCAGGAAGGAACAGTTTTAGGGTAAGATTTTGCGGATAAACTAACGCTTATAATTACACGCGGGGTGTGGCAGGTGGGGTAAAGACGAAAATGGCGACATCAGCACTGCTGAGCCGAGGCAAATAAATTTGCCAATCGTCACCCAGGAAGAGTGCCTCAGAAGCGGGATCCAGTTTCAGTACATTACGTCCAACAGGACTTTTTGCGCAGGTAATTTTGGTAGATGCAGTAATGCGTGTAAGTGAGAACCAGCACTTTATACAGGTTTATTCGCGCTGATAACGTTGGTGAAAAAGTTGAAAGTTAAACTGAAAAATATAAGAGGGAGAAAACGTGAAATTCAAAAATTAGTCTTATATTTCGAGGGTATTGCAGGATTCACCCATATCCAACATTTGAGATTTATGCGCTTTTAACATGACAACATTCAAACATAAAATAATATTCTAGAATTTACAATTTATATCTTAACTAACCAAAAAGCATAATGTTTGTTGATAACTGCGAGTGACAGTTTCAGATTTAGCAAAACTGTGCTCTTTTTATCATATATAAAATTCATTATTTGCAAAGGGAAAAATAATTAATTTTGGAATCCTTTATTAAACCAAATAAGAGTGCTAAATCGGCTCAGAGGGAACTACGTGTGATTAATCCCCGATTGCACATTTCAGCCAAAAAAACTTTCATCGAATCTATAAAAAAATTTCAACAAACATCCAGCCTTCCCAGAAAGTAGAGAACATTTCTATAGCTAAATTCATTAGTTTTCGATATATTTGTTAACTTAAACGCAACATGAATAAATATTCTAGAACTTTAAATTTAGGCAGGTATAATATAGTGTGTAGGTAATTAGTTTTATAAATGGAATTGTTCAACTTTAACTTCAATACATCTGATGTATGTTCTCCGTAATCTTTCTAATACAGTAGTGATAGATTGGGAATATTCTTCAATTAGAATTTGAACTTCTTTTCAAATCAGATTTTTTAGATGCTCTCTGTTATCATTGTCTTTAACAAATACGACACAATGAGGGGAAGTGCCGACGAGATTCCTTAGTTATTCCAATGGAAGCTCACCCATATAGTTTTTTAATTCGTTCTGAAGAAAATTTAAATAACCATTACCGTTTAAAGAAAGTTCGAAGCAATGAGGATATGTTATTCTGTTGTTTAAAATAGCATACCACAATTTACAGTTTAACGTTATCGAAATTGAAAGTCTGTGCCCATTCTCTGCTGATTTTTCGATTTATCACACGACCCAAAAAACCATTCTTAAAAATTATCATTACCGTTAATTTTTTCCAACATTGTATGGCAAAACTCAACCCTTTTTTCTCGATGACTGGGCGTTAATTTTGTGGTAGGGCTAATTTTGAATACTACCAATATTTTTTTCATCAATAAACTCTTCTTTCAGGCTTTCCGATATTTTTCTTATGGAAATATTGAGTTTTTTGTTCTACTTTTAATAAAGCCTTTAAATCACTGTCTTTGACTGACCTTCAGGGGTTAATTTCACATAATTCCAGTTTATATAATGAAAATAACGTAAGTTTTGCTGAATATTTAACTGATAACTGTCACTCTCAGTTATAAACAAACATTCTTTTTTAGTAACGACCTACTTCACAGCCACCCAAGATATAAATTATAAATTCCAGATTAATATTTTATTTTTGAATTATGCTTTTATGTTAAGATCGCATATATCAGAAAACTATTTACTCCTTCCTGGGATTCATAAAATAGATTTCGTCTTATCATAATAACAAAATGGTGTACTAAGCTTTCGCACCTTTTGGAATAAATCATTAATAAACAAGTGCCTATTTTACTTATTTGTCAAAGTGGCAGCAGTTGGTGTTTTTGAAATCCTAGGAAAATGTGTGTAATTTATAAATTAACGGAAAAAGTTTTAACCTGTGAGTATTGAACAGTACAGTTCGAATTTGAATAAAAAACGAAAAGAGCGTACGTGAAAGTTGATAATATAGTAATGAGTAGACCGCAGAAACTAAAAAAAGTATTTTAAAAGTTTGTTGAACTTAAAAAATACCAAGAACATATTAAAGAAAAAATGAGCGCGTATGAGATTATGATGAAATTTTATACAATTTACCACGAACTTATTTGGCACGAGCGGTGGTAGTATTTAATAAACTAGTTACCAACACGAATATATTCACTGACATGGCCGTCAGAATTGACAAACGTCAAAATTCAAGCAGTGTGGTACTACTGCTGTATACATCATTAATATAAATTTAGTCCATGAGTCCTTTTCTGTTTCATCAACAAAAGAAATAAAAGAACAATGCCTGAAAAAAAAATGAAGAAAGAAAATCGTGAATGATTGCTAAAATATTAGAAATTATTGGCCAAAGGAACGGCACAAAGAATACAAAAAAATAATAAATATCCTTAGAAGAAAGATAAGAGACTATTTACAAATCTCCTGGTTATCTCCTGCGTGGTTGTGGATGAATCGAACTTGCTAACGCTTTGACAATATCCTGCTTGCTTGTTCAGAGTTTAACTGAAACTGATTTTCGGATTGTTCATTACCAGAGGAATTGATTATATGCAATAGTTTTATTATGCTGATGAATGTATTTGTCGTAGCCATAAGACCCTTCAGCCTCCTTTGGAAAGAATTTTGTCTTTGATGGAACGAAGAGATTTAAGATCTGGTTTTAACATCATATTTCTTAAGAGCTTTGGATATATAAGCAGTAAATGTTTTAAATGTTAGGACCATAGTAGCAAGTGTAGAGTCACTTTCGGGTTCATTTGCTTTGGCAGGTTCTGATGAAGTGTCTGGTAATGGATCTCTAATTATTTAAGAGATAAGCAGGCGTTTTAATTCTGGGTTCTGGTTCTGTGATTCAGTTTGAGATCTGCTTTCTAATAATTTCCACATTAGATATATTAGGCGTTCCATTACAAAATACACTAATAAAAACAGTAACAGAACGGTAGTTTTTTGATATAAACGTAGGGCCAAAAGCGCGCCACAGATATGGCGGAATCTATTTTTTCAAACTTGCGATTAACTTTTTTTTTTTTCAAATGTAAAACTATTTATATTTCCACATTTTCAGTTTCCGAGTAAATCCAAGTAGGAAATGTTCTTTATATTTTTTCAATTGCTATAATAGTTTTGGAAATAATAGCTTTCAAAAATTTCAAAATGTCATTTTTTCTTGGCCACTATAAATTAAAAAAAACACCAAAAAATTTGACAAATACAATAATTTGTAGAGAAAACCAAAAGACTTTCGCTTTTATCAAAAGAAAATTTTGTTGTAAGTGAAATATATACTTTGGCTTGTATGGAACTGGCAGAAAACAAAAACCACCAAACATTAGTCATGAATGATTTTAACACGAAACTAGGTAAAAGAACGTAACCAAGAAGAATTTAAAATAGGTCATTTCGGTTATGGAGTCGGAAACGAAAGAGAACTTAAAGAACTTATATTCAACAAAAAAAACCCAACAAAAGTGGACATGGATAAGTCCCAACGGAAAAAGCAAAAGCAAGATTCACTACATTTCATTCAGTTAGAAAGGAATAATAACGGATGTAAAAGTACTTAATAGGTTTAAAGTGGGTAGTGAAAATGGTAGGGGCACGTTTACGTATAAGTAATGAATTGAAAACAAAAAGAACAATAACAAACACAGATCTACTAGACATGCAAAAACTTTGGGAAAATAAAAATATAGAAAATATATAACAGAAAGATGAACGAAATATACTAAAAACAATATAAAAAGTGGAATCCAAAGTAGCTCGAAGTAATAGAAAAATAAGTTCATACACACATAACAAAAGCATTGATGGAAAAAAGAAAACTTAATGAGAAAGGAAGTGATAGTGTTTTATATGTCTAAATGTTGCCATAAATTATTTATTTTTAAATTCAATTTTCTTTGATTTCTTTAAACCATATAATTAGTGACCTTTGGAAGCGTTGGATTTCATTGTTTGATTAAGTTAGAGAATAAATACAACTGCATTCGTTCTTTTTAGTATACAGTTGAATTGTTCCTTTGCGTTAATAAACCATTTGTGTGTTATACTTTAGGTTCCCGCAACGGTTCAGGGCCGTGCAATGGAGACAGTGGATCCGGTTTCATTATGCGAAAAGACGGACGATTTATGCTCAAAGGAATTGTGTCGATAGCAGTGTCAGAGCCAACCAAGAGGACGTGCGATCTCAGCAATTACGTTGTCTTCACTGACGCCAGTAAATTTTCCGATTGGTTCATCAATTTTATTAAATAGAGTATATGAAAACGGAAGCTTGTTTCATTGCGTTCGTCCGTTTTTTGAATGACATCAAATGTTAAGTCTAGTCTATTATAGTCATCATAGAATTATACTGGGTTTTTCACTATAGTCGTTCGTTAGAAGTTTAAAATTCTGGAAGTTAGGGTTGTGTAATATTTGCTTTCATTTGAAAAACCGCCATTAACAATGGGTTTCGGCACCAAAATGTGGGATATGTCGTTCAAATAAACACCGGATTCGTTACTAAGTGTTCTCTAATATTTAAATATTAAAATGTAATGGTGGAAGACGGAAAAATAAATACGTAATTCGTAAAACAACTTCGAAACTGACACATAAAAGTTGTCAAGCGTTCAAAAGTCAATCTAACGTCTCGTTCCCGGTTTTTGTTTGTTCGCGTAGCACTCTGTCACGAAGTTACTGTTTTTTAATATCCTTCCGGGCCGCGAAATTATCGATTTCCAATGAATATAAACACTGCACTGGACGTTTCAGCTTGTCACCGGTATTTGTCTTTATTTCGCAAACTCTTACTTTTCCATTGCGTCCTTGAAATGTCTGAGTAACTTTCACGAGCTTCCAGGTTAAACGCGGTCTGTTCTGGTCTTGTAAAAGTACAACACCTCCTTCTTTGATTTTTTGTTCGTCTTCTTTTACAAACAGTGGGCCAGCAAAGTCAATTCCGGTCACCTTAAAAGGTTGCGCTATCGTTATACTGTCTCTTGGTAACGGAGCAAAGGGCTGCATTCCCGATTTCCCTTTTAATTTTTTGCGAATAACACAGCGTCCTATAATTGACTTCACTCTTTGTCTTCCTTGGATTATCCAGTATCTTTCCTAATTTCAGCTAGTGTAGAATTTACTCCTTTGTGTGTCATTTGTTCGTGCACGTTCCAAATCAATTTCTTTGCTAATTCGGATTTTTTGGGAACAATTATAGGATGTCTTTCGTCGTAATTTTAATTGGATTTTTGTAACCTTCCTTTTAGTCCAAGTAGATGATTTTCATCTAAAAATGGGTCCAGTTTTAATATCTCAAATTTCTTCGAAATTTCCTTATTTTTTCTTAAATTCTTTAGTTCTTCTCAACATTTTCAATTACTTTTGTTGTTATGTACCCTCTAATTCTTCGTTCCTTATCCTTTGTCTTCGAATTATTTAAACATCTGTATACAAAAGCTACTACTCTTAAAGCCTTTTCATAACTGCTAAATTTGTCCAAAGGAAATATTTCTTTTACTATATTTTTGTCTTCGTTATTTTCATTATCGGCCTTCTCTCTCATTTCTGCTAAACATGAAACTACTGTTGTCTCTTCATTCTTCAAATCAAAATGCTCGTCCATTGGCCAATTTTCTTTGCTTGAAGATGACCATGAAGGTCCATGAAGCCATCGTTCCGATTCTTTCAACAATTTTGACGCTTGAATTCCTCTACTCAAAATGTCTGCAATATTATCTCTACCTGGGCAGTACTTCCTTATGATTTTACTCATGTTTCATATTTCTCGTATCCGATTTTGAATTAATGGTTTCCACTTATATTTGTTGCCATTAATCCAATACAAAGTTATCTTAGAGTCCGACCATATAAATATGTTGGTTGTGTTTAATTTGATATTTTCTATAATATACTTCTGCAACCTTGCTGCACATAAGGCTGCGGTTAATTCTAACTTTGGTAAACTTAGCTTTTGGTTTAATGTCGCGACTCGGTTTTTGGCCATTAAAAAAATGCAATCGTTATTATCCAAAGGTTTTAAATATGCTACGGCTCCATAAGCGTGAGAACTGGCGCCAGCGAAGATATGTAACTCTACGGGTTCTTTTCGGACAGGTAAAATACAGCAAGTTATAGCGTAGTCGTTTAAACTGGACACATCTTGGATCCATTGGTTCCATTCCATTTTAAATTCGTTTGGCAACGGTGTATCCCATTTAAGTTTTTTCTTCCAAGTTTTTTGTAAAAGTAACTTTACCACGGCAATCCGATAAGGTTTTGGATTCAAATTACACGGGTGCATTTAATCGTGCAAAAAACTTGATAAAAAAGTTGTGTAAAAACGGAACTTAATTAGACAGACAGAGACTATTTTAAATGGAAGACGCTGTATTTATTGGATTGTTGAGGAAATTTTATGATGAGTTTCTATTTCTCACATATTTTGATATTTTAGATAATGCTTACAGATTCTTATTTTTAACATTTTCGATTGGTAACGATTGCTTCTGCAATAAACTCAGGCAAGAGAGTTCATACTTTCGAAATCCGTATCGACAATTGAATTATCACTAAAATTTGATAAATTAGTCAACAAGGACATTTTTGCAGTTTATTATCGAATAGTCTTCTTGTGCCAAACGCTGAGCAGTGTGTAGGTAATCGGTCACTGACGTCAGTTTACTATGTAGTGTATGTTTTCTCGGCCATACGCACGATGGTGTCGAAACTGCTACACCATTCTCGAATGTTTCTCATCTGCAAGTGTTGTTTCCTTCCACGCCATCGTCTACGGTACCTTAACCACGTGTTTTTTCAATAATACAAGCGTTTTCTCGATCACTTAATATATATTCTATCTCACATTTTGCGGCGACGCTACGTCGCGACCCATGCCGTGAACATCTAACCCATAACGCAACGAAATTGTTACTGGTCTAGCAAAAGCGTAAACTATGCCGGTTTGACGTACAACGCCCTGTTGTCACGTTGACCGAATTCTTCCGCATGTTTAAGATAAACAAAATTAAAAAGCAAATTACATAATTTTGAATTCAACATAACCCCAACGCTTGAAGGAACCCTCTTTCATAAGAACAACAAAACAAACATTTCTTTAAAATCATTTTATCTTAGACAAGTCCTGAAACCACTTGAACTAGGATTTCTTTTCACCCACTTTGGTGAAACAATGGAGACAATTTTGACACCTTCACTAGTTTTTACATCAGCCACTCGGTTATAGTTGTCCTTTCCTGGGTATAACTGAATGATGCGTCCCATTTTCCAACACAACTGAGGCACATTTTCTTCTTTTACGATGACCCATGTCCCTTCCTGTAGAATATCCCCATCAACCTTCCATTAGACGCGAATCTGAAGTTCAGCTATGTATTCCAGTGACCAACGAAACCAAAAACCTTTTTGGTATTGTTGAATACGTTGATAGCTAGCAAGCCTATTTTCAGGTTACTAGCGCAATCATGGATCCGGTATTGAGGCTGCCCTTCTTCCGATTAGTAAACGTCCAAGGACATTGGAGTGAGAGGACGTGAGTTTAAAGTGGCCTCTATTTGACACAACACTTTTTACCCTTGACTCTCATAAGCTCCCGAAATAAGGCGAATATGCCAGAATAAAAGACCAATTAACACCTTCTGTCGCAATCAATCAACTCCTTCAGTTCTGTCTGAGCACCCACAAAATTTCCACTGTGTGAAAACAATTTTTCTGGTTTGCCCTCCTAGACACGAATCTCCTGAAAGTTGCAACAAATGCTTGCGTTGACAGACTTGTATTGCCTCTAAATGTATTGCACTTGAGCAGAAACAAATAAATAAACAAACACAAATACCCTGTATAATCTACCCCTGTGGTATTGAATGGAAATTGTGGGATCACGCGCGACTTAGGTAGGTCCTCCCATCTGTAGTTAGACCTAGGTTGAACCTTCGAACACACAACACATTCATGCATCACCTTTTTCACAACATTTCTGTCCTTTGGTGGCCAATAATTTTCCCTTAATGAACTAAACACCAATTGAGGGCCTGCATGCATAATCTCAATTGCTCTGCCTTAACAATCAATTTTGTACATGGATGTTTTGGGTCTAACACAATTGGGAATTTTTTGTCATATTTAAATTCTGAAAGCGCTAGTCTTGCGCCTACTCTGATTAATCCATCGGCATCTAGAAACGGATTTAAATTAGACAAACAACCCTTTTATATCTTCTCACCGGTCTCCAAGATTTTCTTCTCATTTACAAATCTTTCACCTTGTGATAACTTTATTAACATTTTTTCAGACTCTAAGCAATATGCAAACACACTTTTCAATTTTGTCCAATATCTGCGCAGAATGCTACTTCGTGTTTTCTAAACCTCAACAAAATATAAATAATATCCTCTTGAATCCTTGGTCCCGAAAATTGTAAGTCGTTAAGGGACACACCCGAATCTGATTGTGCAGAGCTGTCATACACAACCACCGACCACAACCATTTTTTACACCATGATGTGCTAAGTAATAACACCTTTCACTCGTGCTCTCCTCAGTTATTTGAGTCATGTGACCTACCTGTTCATACTCTCTCATGTATTCACAATAATCTATCTCTATCAAATGAATACACATGTATACAAAAACGACATCACCAAAAACTTTTTGCAGCAGCATTTGAAGACAGTTTTAAATTTTGGTGAATTACCAATAGAATTTTGGCAGATGTTACAAAATAAGTTTATCTGAGTTTGACAAGCACACAAATTCGGCAAATTTAGTAACAATCCTCCAAGTTGCTAGGGTTTGTCGTTAGAATTTTTTATCAGTGTTTTTAGTAAGGTGAAAATTAGTCTGATTACTTTATTTCATTATTCATGCAGTATCAAATAACAGTTTAGAACAAATATTCAAAGCTTTCATGCTTTTCATATGAGTAATCAAATCTTTAATCAGGATTACCTACATATCTCTTAGAGGTAGTATGGTGTTATATTTGATTATCACTTAAATAATTTAGTAATAGCATTCGAAGTTGCTAGGTTTTGTCACTAGAATTTGTAAGAATTTATAAGTGTTTTCTGCAAAATCTGTTCAAATTACTTTAGTAAGCTGAAAGTTAGAATATAACCACAGTTTTGGCTGATCACCTTATCACATAATTCATGCTGTTTTATCTGACAAAGTGCAGAACAAATGTTCAACGCTTTCATGCTTATCATATAAGTATTTAAATCCTTGCAGAGATCAGAGATCGTGGTGTTATTTTTGACCATAATTG